GAAAATATTACAATATTAAAGAACTGTTCTTGTTAATTTGATGAAAGCATTTTTAAATTTCCAGTACACTCACATCAGAATAACTTATAGATTTGTTGTTAGAATAATCGATTAATCAAAAAAATAATTGTTAGATTAATCGATTAGAAAATATTTGTTTGGTACAGCACTAGTTTACATTGTGAAGTGGAGGGGGACAGGTTCTGAGCCTCTACAGGGGGAGAGAACAGTTCAGGAATGGATCCATTTCTGTACAGTTTAGAATCTTCCATCAACCAACTTTAAAGTGAAGAAATTTATTGGGGTTTGTTTATATACTGATCTTAATTACACTACACATGGTATAGTTTTATGATTAGGAGAACTGTAATAAATGTTAAATGTGACTATTTTGCTTAAATTGATGATTTTATATAGGTACATGCCTGAACACAGATTCAACACATAACTGAACTGTTAATCTTCATTAGGGTACATTATTATTGTCTGGGGACATGACTCAAGCAATGGTAGGGACCCCTTCCTGATGACGTAATAAAATAGGCAGAGTCATGTCCCGGAGCTCTTGTTATATTAAACTGACTTCTGGATTTTCGGGTCCTGAATGCAGACCCAATAAACTGCCTCCAGACCGAGCTGCTCTGTGTGGGCTGTATGAACTCTCTCACATTCATTTTCCATGCATTGATACAATTTCCGGTGTGGCAAGCACATAAAATGGTAAACGAACACGCTTAACAATATTTTCTTTCAAAAGCCTTGCTACTTTTTTCTATAACAAACAAACATTCAGCACCTGCACTTAAAAGCTTTTATAATGGGATGAACATGAAGCTGTGTTAAGTCAAGGTTATGAATCTGCAAATTTTTTCTATTCTTATAAATGGTAAATGAAGTGACCATCTTCCTTTTTCTGTATTTTGTGAAAACAAGTTTTCTCTGAAAGTTTCGTTCTTGCATAAGTGCCGCTGCAAAATAATAGGATGAAAAGGGGAAAGGCCTCCCGGAACGAGATAAGCAGAAGATAATGGATGGATGAGGAAAGAAATCGATTTTTCTAGGTAAAGAGGAATGCACTCAAAAGAACAAAAAATAATAATAAATTGTTATACAGCAACATGTTCTTGGAGTTACTGTATTATAAATGGAAATAGTAGAATGTTTGCACAGTTTTTGGTGTACTGTGTGCACAATTTTAAGTGTAAGTTTGACTCACAAGTTTCTTCCTTTTATCCTGCTCAGTTGGTGGCTCCTCTTCTTCACTTAGCTTGGGTTCTTCAAAATGGCTCATCAGCATGCAGCTGCAAACACAATAATACTCAACTCAATATTAATAACCACCCATAGACCTGCACAGCAGGACACAATCTCAGAACAAGCAGCATTTGCAAACACAGGCACACGAAAAAGGCTGAAGCCTCTGGCAATTTTATTAGACAGCTATGGCTGTTATTCATATTGCTTCATCGACATGCAGGGAGAATTGCAAGTAAAAACCTTTGTGCTCTGTGTAAAGTCTCAGTACGGTCCTTTGTTTTCTTTGTGCTCGTTACTAAAATCATTACTGAGCACAAATAAGGTATGGAGGTGAGCTTGAATGTCACATTTTGTGACTTTGAAATGTAGCAAGTCATTACTCGTGATCAGAAACTAAATGTAAACTAATGACATTCAAAATGGCAAAATAAATCAACTTTAAACTGCAGTTTCACAAACATATTCATGTAATTAAACTGAGATGGAATCATTTTACAGGAAGGAACATCTTTTAAAACAGTCATATCCACATTTAAACACTGATTAAATGTCCAATATTGACAGAGCTAGAGGGTTTATTTGTGTCTTTTAAGAAATTTATTGACCAAATCCTTGACTTTTGAGGGGGTTTTTTGGTTGCTGTTTTGTTTTCCTAAAAAAGAGAGCTTTTTGCCTTTATTGATTGCATTTACTACAGATCAGGAAAAATTCTGAAGGTGCATCCACAAACACTTTCACAATTATGAATCTCAGCAGCAAAACAACAAAACTCTGCACAATAGTGCAAACTAAAAACACTTGTTTTAATTTTTCTACTATACATTTTCCTATTTTTTTTAATATATAACTAGAAATACATATATAT